TTTTTCTTTTTTTCTTCATAACTTATTTCAACTCTAGTTATTTTTTGATCAATTATTTTTATACTTTTTTCAATTAAATTGATTTTATCATTCATACTCATCTTTTAGGTCTTTTATAAAGTGGTTTGTCAATTTTAAATCCTAATTTATTTAATAGAATATCAATTTTATAATTAATAATATCTATTTTTCTTCTAAGGTTGTTATTTTATTAATCCTATTTTTCTGTACTATTCTTGATATTTAATTTTGGATTTCTTCAAGTTTATTTTCATCAAGCATTTCTAAATTATTAATTTGTAGCTTTATTTTATTAAATTGGTCAGACATATTTTTACTTAAAACTTCTAATCTTTCTTTAACTATTTCATCTTTTAGATCAATATTATTAATTTCATCTATAGTTTCTATATCTTTAGATTTTAATTGTCATAATTGTTGCCATAAAAATGCATTAGTCCAATTTGTATTTGTAATGCCCCGAAAATTTTCATATAATAGAATTTAAATTTTGTGTGCTATGTCTTGATGTTTTGAAAGTTGATGACAAAAGTGATATATTGAGTAATTCAATATTTATTCGGGGTCAAATATCTAGATTTCGATATGTTGAAGATAAATATATCAATATCGATCTCGTTGAATAGATCAAAATTAAATACATAATTTAGGCTCGAGAAAAAGTCGATTCGAATAAGTCGGGTACAAGATATTTCAATTCGAATGAATTTTTAGAAAAGGAAAAAAAAAATTATTTTTATTTTTATTTATTCCAACTCATTTAGAATCCTGTGCACGTGTATGACTGTATTTTATTCATTTTGGGATTTTGTTGTTGACACGTGTATGAATCTCACATTATGAAGACTGAGTCTAAGAAAATAAAAACAGATTCTGTTTCTACCACTTTATCCCATTTACCCCATCCTATACGTTTCCAGCTACGTGCCAACTCTTGATGATCTAGTTTTATTGCCTATGTACATAGGCACATGTATAATAGAGGAAAGCCACACAAAAACTTTATTTACTCATGGAGCACACAAGCAGAGGCAGAAAGTTTGTCTGGAACGTTATTTTGGGTTTTCAGCTTTCAATAATTCATTTAAATTAACAAGGTAGGATTACAAAGTGCAAGTGGCTTGTCCCGTTTAATATTATTTCTTCATGTTGATGAATTTCATGCTTATGATATGGTATGATATGGAAATTTCGGTACCAAAGATATGATATGATATGAGTTCTTACCAATTTCTAAAGATATGATATGATGGTATGATATATCTGACGCATAGTTTAATATTTTAATCGGGATTGCACAATACATTTTAAGTTCCTACTGAATATTCTCATATACTCACCATTTTCCCTACTCCTCACAAGTTAGAACGGATCATTGGTTGGCAGGCGATGAGATGCAATCGTGGTGCCATGATTTATGAGACTCAATAAGAATAATCCGGTGTAACAAATGCAAATTTCTATTTTATTTTCAGCAATAATCTGGAGTTTCAT